TACTGGTCGCATCTCTCTCTCCCTCCCGTCTCCCTTATACTATCTCGTGTCTGCTTTTGGCTTACTTAGGAGTCTGTTGTCATCTGTTTCTGGTTCTCGTTATATTTTGGGATAGGCCTTTTTAGTGGTCTCCCGCATTGCTACTGCGTAGTTTACTGTTCTGCCCTGAGCAGGAACGGTTTTGTCTCTGTGGCTACAACGTATAGGTGTACTTCCTTTGGGGAGGAGGTGGTTGTTGGAGTGGGTGTGCCTGGCTTATTCTTTTCTCGTTATGGAAGGGAACATCGAGGATTTTGGCGTGGTGAGTATTTATGATATTCGAAACCTAATGATTACATCACAGGCTATTGCTTGTCTGATTCGGATTAGCATTGCCCTAGTATGGAGGTTATCAGAGAGGAATTCGGAAGTGACTGTTTTGGGGTGTCAGCAGTCCACAGCCCTACAAAAGCTGGCCCGACTTGATTTTTGATGGATTTTGAGCAGGAGCTGTTAGCGCTCAGACTGTGGTATAAACCGCCAACATGGAAAACACCTTGGAGAGAGCTGTCAGGCGCGACTGACGCCGTTGGCCTTTAGGTGCGCAACTAGCAACTCCAGGAGATTGCAACTTCAGTGAGGTTTTACGCTCTGGGCCCGCCCATCAATCCGTCCCTTCCTTTCCTCCACGGACACCTGGCGATTGTTTCACTTGGTTGTAGGACCTGATCAGGGACATCTCCATGGCAACCTGCTGTGTTATCGCGATGACACCACGTAGATACTGAGGCCACTGATGGAGGCGGGCCTAGGGATAGAATATAGTGAGCTCTCCAGGCCTGTAATGTGACTTTATCTACAAGCCACCCTGTTAGTGTGAGTTACGGTCAGGTATGTGAGTGAGTTACATGGCCGAATAGTGCCAATACAAACCCTAAGTACCGCCGCGGTTGTTGCCCACCGCCCAATCCCACGCGCGCGAGTATGCCGCTTTTGTTTTTACCCTAGAGCGACTATACGGTTGGTCGTTGCGCAGCTGCGCTGTTTGCTGCGCCTGCGGCTGCGCTGTACTAGGGTGCCTGGCTGGCCCGCCAATCCACTCCCCGTTCTCGCACCTCCCCCGTTGCAAGTTGGTTTGGAAGTTCTTTTAGTGTAAATGAATAAAGTGTGGCATGATTACGATAGTGTTGACTTTGATGATATGGCTGGGATGTGTTTTTCCCAGTCCCACACTGCTATTCCCTAATGGAGCAGAGTTTTGAGCGGTGCTTTTTTTCCCCTCCGACCAATAGTCACACTAGTCTTGTGTTTTTTTCTATTGTTTCTATGTATACCACCTTTCATAAGTAATTTCCCGACAGTGGTGATTTTATATAAAGTATTTGAGATATTGTGGAATTTCTGAGAGATGATAAAGTGTGGTAAAGTGAGGTCTTGTGGAAGAGTGAATGAAGGTGCTGGAGATAGAGAGAACCTGAATTGTTATAGACTGAGGATGAGACATATGAGTAAGGTTGCTTATATAGCAAAGAAGGTTATACTTCAATTTAAACAGAGCGTGTGCGAACATAGTAAACCGTGCATGTAGACCTCCAGACTCACAAGTGGAGGTATATCGAGGGTAACACATGGATGACACAATGGAACGACCAGGAGCTGACCTATAGATGGAAGAGATCACCAGATAAAGGCTTCGGAATTGTGTCTGCGAGTGATAGATATGACGGTTGTCCCGAGAGAGTACTGCATACATCTATGGGATACATGACTGCATTTACATAACTGGACAGGCAGTTTCTATGTATTTTTCGTGTCAATTAAAGTGACGACTACCTGATTGTTAGCAGCTATGATTCTCTAGTGAACGATGTGGTACTGGGAAAAATACGAGAGTAGATGGTTTTATAAATACCTTTTTCCAACAACTGATAGACGAATTGATGACTAACATAGAGCAAAATATCAGGTGTATATATGCACTTAATAAATTATATATAGAGCTAAAATGAGTATATTACAGATATATTGACTGAGAGATATCGTTCTAGAATTTATATCTTCAGAATTGAAACAAGGGCTATCTCTTGTCTAAAGTAGAACATAACAAATGAATTATTGTATGGCTCTGTCTCTCACACAATATATTTGTTAGTATGAATCTACTACTTTCTAAGATCTTTTGACCACCTTCGTTGAGAGCCGGAACAAGAAGCCTATTCTTCACTTATTTACTCTGTTTGTGACCTTATGTACATTCTAATAATACCCTTAAACTCTAAATGTTTGTAACTGCTCACATTAAGTATTCCAACATATAATCTGGATCTTTTCACTTTCTATTTTTTTTATTTACTCGTTTGCTGCTGGAACAACTCAGTTTCACTATGCGTATTGTTACTTTAAGTTTAAATTAGGTCTTAATGCACTTTTTTGGACCATTGTTTTTTTTATACTCCCTCACCAACTATTAGATTTGCACCAGGAGTATTTATCACTTTGTCTCTGCAGGTCTCCAGTGAACCCAGCTGGAGCAGTCAGAATCCAACCCTGTCCAGAAGACTCGTCTGAAGCCCGCCGCTGCTCCAGCCCCTGCCTCCCTGGTATGCCACTAATGCTAACACTAATTCTGTCACACTGTGTAGTTTTTTCAAGATAAATCAAACTGACATTAGGGATTCCTTTAACACAAAATCTTTTCAAGGCATTTTTCATTTGTAATGTTAGGTTTATATTCTAACAAATCAAAGTGTTTGCTGCATTGGATCTTGCACTAAAATAAATGTATATAGTATATAAAAGCAAACTTGCCCTTCATTTTTAATAGCATGCGGGCTTCTATCCACTTACTGTAGATCTTAATGTCATGAGCAACAATTACAGAAACCTTTCTGCAGATACTTTAATGCTCAGTTTCAGGCCAGTATCCTAGTTTTGTAAATCACTTGCATACTCATTATCTGTGGGTGATATGATGACTTTGTCCTTTTCTTGTGCAGTGCTACCAGATGGAGTATGGAGTAAATGGACCCCCTGGTCAGAGTGTAGTAAGACATGTTTCAACCATGTAGATGATGTTGGAATCAGACGCCGATTCCGCAGCTGCAACCATACGTTCACACCCTCCAACCACACGCACTTGGAATTTTCCTGTGACGGAGACAACGAGGAGCAAGAGCCTTGTAACACTGTACACTGTCCAGGTATTACAGATACAGACGCACACACAGAAACCACAGTGTCCTCCACTCTCCACAAATTATGTCTAAGGGTCAAGAAGAAAAGCTAATTATAGTTGTATACTTCCAGTAAATGGTGGCTGGTCAGCGTGGTCACCGTGGTCTCAGTGTTCATCAGAGTGTGACTCTGGTGTCCAAACACGAGAGCGATACTGCAGTTCACCCTCCCCACAGCATGGGGGCAGCAGCTGCCCTGGGCCACACATACAGACAGGAGACTGCAACTCCCACCCCTGCACAGGTACTTCATCATGTTTTCTTATTACTCAAGCTCTAGGCCATGGAGTAATATGTGTGGATGATATTACTCTATAATAAAATTGTGTTTGTGGTTATTTTGTATTGGCAGTGTATTCTTCCTAATATTTTATGAACCCCATTCAATTTTCACTTTTGTTTCCTCTCAGGTGTGTGTCCAGAGGGCATGGTGTACATGACAGCAGCAGAGTGTGAGGTTCACGGAGGTGCGTGTCCGCGGGTGTGTTTGGACATGACCTCCACAGAGGTGCAGTGTGCCACCGCCTGTTACGACGGCTGCTATTGCGCCTTGGGCTTCTACCTTCTCAATGGCAGCTGTGTGCCCCTGGCACAGTGCCCGTGTTACCACCAGGGGGAACAGCACCCAGCCGGTGCCACCCTGCCTGTTGATGCCTGCAATAACTGGTACTGTCAGACAAAATTACCCCTCTGTCTATAATTGGATGATCAAATTTTGCCTGAAAGTTTAAATTAATATTGTAGAGAGTTAGAATGTGCGGCCATTTCCTAAATCAAGCGTCACTTGTTGTGTATTGTGTATCTCAAACAGTACCTGCACTAATGGAGAAATGAAGTGCGGTACAACTCCCTGCCCTGGTGAGTAGCTTTACTGTTAATTGCAGTTTTGAAAGTACATTTACTTGTCTTTCTCCTTGTCTTTTGCTGTATTTAAGCCTTCTCACTTATTTTGTTTCTTTTTTCTTTTTTCTTCTTTTATCCTCTGTGTGTTTCCCAGTGGACTGTGGCTGGAGCAGCTGGACCCAGTGGAGTGCTTGCAGTCGAACATGTGATGTTGGCGTGAGAAGGCGGTATCGTTCAGGAACCAATCCTCCTCCAGCTTCCGGGGGTCGCCTGTGCAAAGGAGAGAGAGTTGGGATCGATACCTGCAGCATTGAACCCTGCTTTGGTGAGGCGTTATTATATACATAATCCATGTTTTGAAAGTAAAGAAATGCCTTTATTTATTTTACTCTTGCATTCAAAGAAATTAACCACAGATTCAAATAAAAAGTTAATCTACGTGTGATGTGTCTACGTGTGATGTGTCTACGTGTGATGTGTCTACAGGTGTAAAGGAGCCATGGAGTGCGTGGTCCGAGTGCTCAGTGACGTGTGGAGGAGGTTACAGGACCCGAACTCGTGGACCTATCCGAATCCATGGCACTGCTCAGCAGTTCAGTGCCTGTAATCTGCAGCCCTGCGGTACAGCAACTACCATCTAACAATATTGTCACGTATAATATCAGAACTGTATAAGTGGGTACTCTTGAAGAAGACAGCAGAATTTATTATACAACTTCTAACACACATTTATTGCATTAAAACAATTATGCACAAGCCAACAATAAGTTGAAAGTAGAAAAAAACAGATAATTCATTGAAATTTGATTTCTTCAATATGTCCATTGAAATTTGATTTCAATGTTGTCGTAGGAAACCATAAAAAGATGGTAATGTTTATTCTAATATATCAAATCCTACCCTGGAAAGCATGTGAACAATGCTAAGAAAAAGAGTAGAAGTAAAAAAGAAGGCACAAAGAATTTATTCATAATTAATGAATTAATGTCATTGCCAGATTAATGGATGATACTAAACATATTGTTTTGGATTGGAATATCTCCTACTTTGGTGCATCAAGCAGCTTCTGTCTTATGAGTATTGAGCAACATCATATGTCCAGTTTGTAACAAAATTAGATGAACAGATGTTCCCACTTTTTTAATGCGTTCAGATACTGAGAGGGTTTTCATTGATTTCTGCTTGGCCTCTGTTGCTGTGTCAGGAGATGGCAGGGTCTGTCCTTCAGGCCAGGAGTGGAAGCAGTGTGTGAGGGGAGCAGTCTCATGCACAGATCTCACAATGGACCTTAACAGGAACTGCACACCAGGCTGCCACTGTCCACACGGGACTGTCCAACAGGTGGGCAGGTGTCTAAACATAAACAAGTGTACACACACGCACACACACACCCACCAGCACACATATACACATATAAGAATCACGGCCATATTGTTGATGGTCCTTCATGTTTCCAGGATGGTGTGTGTGTGCCTGAGTCTAACTGTCGCTGTGATCTGGATGGAGAGCAGTACAACCCAGGAGACATTGTGCCCAGAGACTGCAACAACTGGTCTGTAAAACAGATTTTATTCTTGAATTGTTCTAAGAGCCATACTGAATTTAAAGAAAGATAAAATTGTGATTGAACTTGTGTGTCTTTATATCTCAGTACATGTGAAACAGGGAGGCTGGTAAACTGCTCTCAGGTCAGCTGCAATGGTAGGCAAAAAGTCATTGAATTAAATCTTTACTTTAATACAGCCACTGTTGCTTTTTTCTGGGTGCATTGTGGTAGAAAGTAGAAAACAGTGTTTGATATTGTTTAGTTTGCATAACAATAACAGTGGTTTGCATGCTACTCATGCTTGATGAATTGGCTGCCATCACAGCCAATGTGAATAACAGTTATTATTGACAGTGAAGCTGTAAAGATGCAAAACAACATGAAAAAGTAATATAAATAACATGCAAATGTTGTAACTGTCCTCATTGTTCAACTGTTTCTTTCTTGTTCTGTCCCTTCACATGCAAACACACTCTACAGTTGATGGCCGATGGTCAGTGTGGACTCCCTGGGGTCAGTGTTCGGTGTCGTGTGGAGCAGGTCTCCAGTCTCGGTACCGGTTCTGTTCCAGCCCCCAGCGCTCTGGCAGTGGCCTGCCATGTCTGGGACCTCACAGAGAGGACCAAGTCTGCGTCACAGCTCCATGTGACCGTGAGTTTGTTTTGTGTTCATTTATATTGACTGACACTCTGTTGATATTTAAATATATTGCCATTAGATTTTCCACTCCCCACTGCAGTCAGACAACAAGATCTTATGCGTATGCAAATAGATCTTTATTGCTGTGAAGTTGTTTTAATTTTCACTGTTTCACGATGTTTGGGCTCTTTCCAGGTGACGGTGGCTGGGGTCAGTGGAGTAACTGGACAGAGTGTACCAAGTCATGTGGCGGGGGGGTTCGAAGCCGGAGGAGAGAGTGTGACAGTCCCGGTCCAGAGGGGGAGGGGAACTACTGTGAGGGGCTGGGAACTGAGGTCATAGCATGTAACACTGACCACTGTCCAGGTATGTTTACACAGGGTGTAGAATATACGTGAGGCAGTGTGCTCTACCTGTGAGTTTTGTGCATAGTACAGTCAATTATATGTGTTTTGACAGCGTGTCATTGTGTATGTTTTCAGTGGCTCCATGCTCACAGGTCCCAGGCACAGTGTTCAGTAGCTGTGGTCCCTCCTGCCCTCGCTCTTGTGACGACTTGGCTGTGAGTATCACACTAAACATGACTCCTGTTTCCACCCAGTACCACTGACCAACAATAAGTCATGCTTTGTGGGTAAAAATGAAGAACTTTGGTGATGATAAGGGAATTTTCTTCCTGTCCCTCAGCACTGTGAGTGGCAATGTGAGCCAGGGTGCTACTGTACAGAGGGAAAGGTCCTGTCTGCTAACGGGACAGTCTGTGTAGAGAGAGAAGACTGTCCCTGCCTGGACCTCAGCTCTGGACACAGGCTGGAACCAGGGGAGACCATTGAAGCCCCTGATGGATGTAACAACTGGTCAGAATAATGCTGTTCATGCATGTAGACCACATTTAACATCCAGAAAAAAGGGACAGGAAAATAATGATGTTGCTGTTTCCTCTGTGTTTCAGCACTTGTGAGGGTGGGAGGCTCAATTGCACCAGATACCCCTGTCCAGGTGAGTAAGATTAGCTGTAATTTTCTGTAGGTTTAGAAGAAAGTGCAACTTATGCATGATCAATAAACAACATATAAAACCATTTTAACTGAATTGTGTGCAGCTTTTCTTTGACAAACTTTTTAAATGCACCCATGCAAAAACAATAATGATATTACTGAAAGTCGTGGGGAAATTATGTCTGGGGACAGTCCATAAATGTAAATTTTGCATCCTGCTTTGTGTTTCCAGTGTCAGGTGGCTGGTGTGAGTGGTCAGAGTGGACTCCATGCTCCAGGACCTGTGGGGCAGAGTCAGTGTCCCGTTACAGGAGCTGTGGTTGTCCTGAGCCTAAGGCTGGAGGAGCAGCCTGCTCTGGAGAAGAGGAAATGCACAGTGGGGTCGGCGTTCAAATCCAAAGACAGCCCTGCCCGGTCATCACCTTCTGTCCAGGTAAGACGCTACCACTCATAATCACTAATATTGGTTCCTAATGACAGAACCTCAGCAAAGCAAATTGCTCAAGTTATTTAGCCCCAAGAAACTAATATTTTATGTAACTTGAGAATGAAAACAGGTTCCAGATCAGCCTCTCTAATATCTTAGATTGTTCTCCATGTTGACTTGACTTGAAGTGGCATTTTGATATCTTTCATTCCTTTTTTTGTCTTTTATCCTTTATATTGCTTCCATTTTATTGTCTCCTGCTTCTGTTCTTTGTGTCTGTCTTTATTATCTTGCCATGTCTTTCACTGCAGGTAGGTAAAAATAACTTCTCCTTGTTATCACTTTCTTTACACCTTTTCAATTCTTAACTCTTGTTTGTGTCTCTCTCTTCATTTCTCTCTTCTTTCTTTCCCTCTAGTCCATGGTTCGTGGAGTCCCTGGTCAGTGTGGTCAGAGTGTGATGGGTGTGCCGGGTCGTCCACTCGCACCAGGGAGTGTAATAGTCCTCCTACCAGGTTTGGTGGCCTGCCCTGCATTGGAGAGAGGAGGCAGAGGCGCAGTTGCCATGACAATGTCACCATCTGCTCAGGTTAGCATACTAAAAGACTGTATATTAATTGTGGATTTGTGTTGAAAGCTTATATTTCACTTCAAAGGGAGATTACTGGATGAAAATATGGATAAAAGATGGGGATAGAGCTGGAACCCCATGTAAGAAGGCTGAGTGTTGGGTTTGACTCCGACCTGTGGCCCTTTGATGCCCCCCCCCCCCCTTCCTGTCACTCTTCAGCCGTCACAGTGAGATTTTACCTCAGGTGAAAGAAATTAAGAGAGACAGGCCTTTATATAGGAACAAGGTGGCATCCATTAGCATTTCTATATCTGTCTATGTGGTGAAGCCTGAGAGAGAGAAAAGCGTCTGCTTGAGTTTAATTTAAAAAAATAAAAAACCTGTTAAAATAAAATGCCTGCCTGAAAGGGAAGATTAATGAACTCTCTGCATTGGCTGAACTTTCCCTTCCCTCCCAAGTTCCTGTGAATGTCCAGCTCCCACAGAATGATAACGAGTTACTGATGAATAGCAAAGGCTCAGGCACTGCACTTCATCATTCATCTATTTTTGGAATGCTTTTCAGTTATCAACACACAATAAAGAAGTTTCTTGGTTTTTCATTCCAACTTTGATAGCTTTTAGTTTGCACTTGCCACTAATTTTATTAGGCTGACTTTCCCCTGTCTAGTCTAGCTAGTTTCAAGTTTCCTTTTATCTTATATAGAATACTAGACCTTAAAACCCAATACTCCTCTCTATGTGTTATTCTCTTTAAACTATACCATTCTGCAGACTGTGGCGGAGGCCAGGAAGAATGGCCTTGTGGGAAGCCATGTCCTCGCTCCTGTTCAGATCTCCATGGTGACGCAGAGTGCTTGGACTCCCCCGGGTGCAGAAAGACCTGCGGTTGTCCGGGTGACATGGTTCTGCAGGATGGAGTGTGTGTGGCCAGGGAGGAGTGTCGCTGCAAATACCTTAACAGCTCTGCTATTGGTTAGATCCACAGTTTGTTTATGTGACAGTTGCTAATGGAAGTGATAACATTGTATGGGTAAACTCAGAGAAAAGCCTAATCAATAGATTTTTGTCTTTGATATAGTAATGACTTCAGATTTCAGTAATGCATCATCAGTATGGCCTGGTGGATCTGATTGGCAGTTTGCAAATCCAGGAGATAGCATCATCAGTGACTGCAAAAACTGGTACAGCACAACTGAATAACTCTACAACCCTTTGATTAAAGTAATAAAATCAATGTATTACAATTTCATGTACAAAAATCAAACATTTATTTTCCTTTATTTTTGTGTTTTCTTGTCTTTCTCACTTTATCTCAGTTCTTGTGAGGCAGGGGTTCTGCAGTGTCAATCAGTCCCTGGTTGTCATGTTGATGGAGGCTGGAGCCAATGGGGGGCCTGGACTGATTGCACGCTTCCTTGTGGAGGAGGAGTCAAGTTCAGGAGACGCCAGTGTGACAACCCATCCCCTCAGAGTGGCGGGAGAGGCTGCCTGGGAGTCGCTGAAAAGCAGAAAGAATGCAACATCCACCTGTGCAAAGGTAGTCCTGTTTGGCCAATCCAGTTTAGAAATTGAGTTTCTAGACTCAAACACAAGTCGATTTCTTACATTGCCCTTAGAAAACACACAGTGCTTTCATTCCAAATATGTCCTAATCTACCATGCAGTTGTGTCTTTGATTCTCAGTATGTTTTTGCTTCCAGACTCGGACGGCCCGTGGCTCCCCTGGTCTGAGTGGTCTGTGTGTTCGGTCAGCTGTGGCGGGGGACAGCAGTCTCGCTTTCGCGTATGCAGCTCTCCACCCTGCAGCGGCCTCAGCCGTCAGAGCAAGACCTGCAACACCCAGGTGTGCCTCGGTGAGTCCAGGTTTCCTGTAGAATACCTATAGCTACGGCATCAAAGTTATTGGAATTGTAGGATCCAGGATAACCTTGTGGACAAGCTCTGATTTTGAGTATTTTTTAATCTGTGTCTCTGTGCTGTGATGCTGGCATGCAGAAGTGGGCTGCCCTCCTGGCAGGTTGTACAGAGAGTGTGAACGAGGTGAAGGCTGTCCATTCAGCTGCGCTCAGGTCAGCGGCAGAGAGGGCTGCTACTCTGATGGCTGCGAGGAAGGCTGCCACTGCCCCCCAAACACCTACCAGCACCACGGAGTCTGCCTGCAGGTGGGTTCCCTTTAGCAGTCTGATAGATTCATTGTATCATACATCTGAATAACAATACCATTTAAGCTTGCAACACAAAAGGACCAAAATGTGATAGGTAACATATTTCCAAAAACTTAATAAAGTCCAAAATTTCTTGCTTCAGGTTTTCCAATGAACACGTGTTGTCGTATGGCAATGAGTGTGCATTGGAAAAAGAAAAAAAGTTAATGTAATGTGTGTGTTTCAGGAGTGTCCATGCCTGGTGGACAGAGAGTTTCTGGCCTCTCTGCAGAGTGTTTCTGTCGCCCCGGTCTCATCTCTCCACCTCCATAACATCTCTCAGGGAGTGGAACTTCAGTCTGGAGACACACTGGTCCATGACTGTAGTACCTGGTGAGCAGAAAATGTTGGACATATTTGCAGCTACTCTGTTTTTTTTTTACAGCCAGGACACCGTCTTCTACTGCTGGACAATTAAAGGATATATAGGTTCCTACAATGTCTAAAAAAGTTAAAATAAGTATCCCATTTTAAAGGACCAGTGTGTAACATTTAGGACGATCTATTGGGAGAAATGAAATATAATAGTCGTAGGTGTGTTTTCATTAATGTATAATAATCATAATAATCATGTTTTTGTTACCTTAGAATGAGCCGTTTTATCTACATACTGGATACCACTAAATCCTACACACTGGTATCTACATATCTGCATAACTGCGCATCACATTAAAAACACATACTTTACTATGATTTGAAAAAATGGGCCCCCAAACCCACATTTCTAACTTTAAAGCTGTCATCTTTCCATCATCACTGTCAAACTCTTCCGACCAATAGCACCACACCTTACTCTTCCTCCCCTTTGTTCCCTGTAGCGGCTGTGAACATGGCAGGTGGAACTGTTCCTTGGAGCATTGCCCAGTCGATGGCGGCCTGTCACCCTGGGGCTCCTGGAGCTCCTGCTCACTGTCCTGTGGAGGTCTTGGACTGAAGACTCGCACCAGGGGCTGCACACAGCCTCCCCCAGCCCATGGAGGGAGAGACTGCCAGGGGCCACGCCAGGAAACCACGTACTGCCAGGCCCCTGACTGCTCAGGTACAAGGGCTTGTTTGGTTGTAGTAGGTACTGTAGGTAATGTGTGTGTTCAGGGTTGGAAGGAAGAAATGACACTTTGTTTTAATGACCAGCAGTCACATAAAAAGAGATTGGTTTGGAGTGAGTGTTTATACACTGAATTTAATCATAAACTTTATTTAATTATAAAAGGCTGTCTTTAATTTGCATCCATTATAAATAGTCATAATAGAGACAGTATATGTTGCCCAATGCCTAATTGTTTACTGATATTGACTTTTTGCTTGTTGTTGGCAGTTATTGTTGGGCCTACGGAAGAACCAGCTTTACCAGGTAAATTATCCCTCCATACAAAGTTTAATACCACCTAGGGTCTTCTCCATTGTTCATTTACTTTATTTTTTTTCTCCTTTTTGCTTTCTCCTCTCCTGCTGGTCTTTACAATTTATCTGCCTGTATGGTACATGCTATTGTAATTTGTTATGTTTGTTTAAACCTGACTTCTACCTATTTCCTCCTCTATCTTCTTCAGATGAGGATGCTGGCTTCTCTCCCTGGTCGTTATGGACTCCCTGCACAAAGACCTGCACTAATACTCTCAGCCCGGCCATGAAGTCCCGTCATCGACAGTGTATCAAACCACCCTGCTCTGGAAGCTCTCGCCATGAGAAGGCCTGTAACCTGCCCCAGTGTCCAGGTACGGCGATGCACATTATCTCTTATCTTTGCTGCTTTCACAGTCTGTGGTTGCAACCAAATCTGTCATTGTAGCAGTTAAATTTTAATTTTACAAACCATCTGCTCGCTTACATTGTAAGCCTGTTATATTTTGCTGCCTTAAAGTATTAAACAGTGCATCTCCTGAAAATCAATCAATCAATATGAGTCTATGGGAGCCTGGAGGTTATGGACACAGGAGGCCACAGTGTCAGATATGTATAGGAGAACTGAAGCGAGGTACTGTTGTCTGTAAAGGAACAATTTTTCTAAGTATCTAATAGTAGAGCGCTATAGTTCCTTTTGTGATAAAATGAAAACTGCCATTCCAATGGCTTATATCAGACAACAGAGGATGAAGACATAAACAACCTGTGTATGAGCGAGCATATGATACACATACTGATCTCTTCAAAAAATGAGTCCATAACATTTGTTGGTTTGCTGTTTGGGATTTGTGTCGTGACTTGGTTTGTGATTTTTAACCACCACCTTATCTCAGAGACAACAGAGCAGATTTTGTAGTGTTCTCGCTGTTTTATTTACTGATCAGCACAGACATCAGAAGAGATAAGTACAGGCAAGCTGTTTTATTTTGCAACTCTGTCTGAGAATAGGGTGAAGTTGTATGTGTACATACAGTCTCATTTATTCAAATGTGACCAGCTGAGTGTTTATCTAAAGTTTTTATTCCAACAATGGGTGCATGCACAAACAAATGGGAATACCTTTCAGAAAAAAAATACTGTGTTTGTAGGTGTGTGAGTTTGTGTGAATTGTGCATCTGTGTGTGTACACAGAGTAGTGAGGGAAGATAACTAAATGGCAAAGGCTAGGGAGACTGTAGGTTATGAATAATATACTCATTCTCATGCCATTATTCTGACTTTGAATATTTATAATATTTACATTTTATGTGACAAGCTCTGTTTACAGTTTCCCCTTTAATGAATAAATATTGCCACATAACTATAAATGCCGTAAACTAACATTTATTGTAATTAAAGTAAACTGGAATGACAGGTGTAAGAAATATAAAAAGAGTTGTGATACCAGCAATTAACCAAAGTATTACAATTAATTAGAGTAAGCCACACAGATATTCAACTACTGTATCAAAGAACCTTATGACTTGTGTAATATGTTCCCAGATGGAGACGAGGTATGTGTCGGGCCCGACTGTGCGCAGAGGAACTGTTCATGGACAGACTGGGGGGAGTGGAGCTCCTGTTCACGGTCCTGTGGAGTGGGTCAACAGCAGAGGATCCGAACCTACCTCAGTCCCGGGACCAACGGCTCGTGGTGTGAAGACATCTTGGGAGGAAACCTGGACCATCGCTTCTGTAACATCAGGCCCTGCAGAGGTCAGCCAACCAATCAGCACTCACTATACATCCTGTCTTTAGCACAAAGATAGGCTAAGAAAATCTAACAGTAGAGACTTAAAACTTTTACAGTGAGACACTTTTGTGATAATTATCAGATTTACATTATTGCTGTGTATTAAGTTGTATTTTAACTAACTAAGGGCTCTTGAGGCCTAAACTGTGGACTCAAATGTCTCCCCCTCCAAGATGAGATGAAATAATGTGGGTGTCTCGCTGTTCCCTGTCAATTCAGTTTATATTGTGCTTTTGTGGAATCATTTTGAATGAAATGACCAAGTAATTGCCACATGGTGAACCTGTAGGTCTGTTGCCCATTTTTGATGGATAATCCAGCCTCGCTGCCTGAAAGGTTGGAAGAACGCACCTTAGTCTTTGTTTTAAAAATGGATTAAAGGGATAATTCTAGTTTTTCACAACACCAGTACTTTTTTAAAGTTCCAGTCTGCAGCAATATACCATTGTATCCATCAAGTCAGTTTTTGCAAGCAATTACTTTGAGTACATTATCATAACCAATAGAAATTATGGCCAAGAGCATGAAAATAAGACCCTAGTTGTAATAAACTTTAGTGTTAAGTACATGTGATTGTATAAAACCTACAGAAATACTGGTATCATATTTTAAATCTGTGCTTATGTTTGTGTTTGTTTGTTAATGCTGTAGTGGATGGAGGTTGGTCTCGCTGGAGTCCCTGGTCCCGCTGTGATAAGCGCTGTGGTGGCGGGCGCTCCATACGCACCCGCTCCTGCTCCAGCCCTCCGCCCAAGAACGGTGGGAAGAAGTGTGAAGGAGAGAAGAATCAGGTCAAACCCTGCAACACCAAACCCTGCGGTGAGACAGACCCAACATGTTGACATACGCCTGTAGAGTTCAGATAGCTGTGACCTCAAGGATAATTCATTCTGTGCAGAGATGATTGCTCATTAATTCAGCATATGGCTATGTTTCTAGGAAAGTCTTTGTGTTCCAAAAGTCAGCCCAGCCTGTGATCAGCATTCTTGGTGTGCCATGTTATGCAAAGTAAATGCCTGCGGTATCATGGGAAAAATTCATGACCTTCTGTTTGTGTATTGTCAGATGAAAAAGGGTGCCCACCGGGCCAGGAGTTTGTGTCGTGTGCAAACCAGTGTCCACAGCGGTGCTCAGACCTTCAGCAGGGGATAGAGTGCCAGGGCAACACCGAATGTCAGCCCGGCTGTCGCTGCCCTAAAGGTACTGAGGTTGCTATCATATCTATCACACAGATAAGCCTGTGTGTGTGTGTGTAGGTGGATTCTTCCCTAAACGTTGTCTGTGCCTGCTGGTATTCAAAATAGGCCTGTGTCTGTGCTGTGCACAAGCTGTATCTGAATGAAGCCTGGGTGCTGGTTTAACACAAAAGTTAGCTGATGACCAAGGTCACTATTACAGTAGCGTACACAGACTGGATTACCAGATTGGCCTTAGAATGTTGTTATAGTAGTAGCTATTACCGAGTACTTACCGCCTATAGTATTGGATATCGTGTGCTCTGGCGAGGTCGGCGGAGCATCTGGAAAAAAACAGCAAATTACATCTCTTATTCTGTAAAAATGTCCTGATTACTATTGTGAATAGTTTTCTACGTCACTTGTTTCAGGAATGTTGGAGTTTCAGCACCCTGAGGAGTTACTTTGTGAGAGAATTGCTAAATAAATAATGTAACATGGCGGTATTTCCTTATTAGACCTGATTTCCATTATTTTTCAAGACCCGGCATAGTTAAAATTAGAATATCTTTTTAATATAAATTATGAGAAAAAGATGTACAGAACTACACTTAACAATAAAGATAAATCTAATCACTCCAAGGATTATCAATACACTCGTAACTGGGGCACCAACCTCCGTTATCTAGCTGCTGCGATCAATCGGGAGGAATTATCCACAGATCTAATCAAAATCAATCTTATTAAATCAATTTCTATATTCGCAATAGTTAGGATTATTCGATATTCAAGTATTCAATCTCAATGCTTCTAAGCAGCTGAACTTCTTTACACGATTTCGTGGATTCCCCCCGCATAAAAATGGTAACATACACAGACAAGCACCTATGTGAGGATGTATGTTATTTATAAACTGAGTGCAGGGGTAAGGATAGTGGAAATGACTAAGTAGACACAAATGACCAACAAACAACAGAAAAGTGTGGCACAGTAAATTGATTGATGATTAAGTGAGGTGTCAGGGAAGCGAGTGGGAGATGAATTTTTGTGATGCGGCAGTAAGTTTTAAAATACTTACGCAACAGTAACTTTTATACGTACGATGCCTATCGAAAAATATTAATTCTCTTAAACTGAATGAATGGAGATTAAAGCTTACAGACAGCACCAGAACTCTTTCATGTTGCTGGAACCCAGCGGGTATGCCAGTTAGGCAGCCTACTCTTGGTCGTAGGACTGACGGTTCTGGAAGGATCCAGGCTCTTATTCTTTCAGGCTGCTCGACTGCAGGCTGCGGTCCGAACCCCCCGGTCCAAAGACGTATCACCACCCGGACCAATTCTCGTCAGCAGGTCCAGTGTGGCGATTCTCGCTCGCTGCCGTCGCTTGGGGGCAGATGGCTGGAGAATATAAGTCTTTGTCCGCCCAAGGAAAAACTCTTGAGCAGCTGGATTTGCTGCGACGTCTTCCCGCTTTTGGCGTATGACAAAGTCTTTAAAGACTTTAAGATGGTTTGGTCTTCAGCTTAAATTCCAGACTAACTCAGCTTCTCGTTTCGAAAACAACTGCGGATGAAAACGTGGGTCTTCCTTATAAGAATAAATCCAATAGTTAGATGTAACATTGCACCTTCTGTGAATAAGGCGACGAATCACCGTGGCGGTATACTTTAAGAATAAAAGTACTTGAGAAATGTACTTCAGCGCCGCAAGTTATTACGACGAATAAATAATGAGTCTTAAAAAATAACTAGTAATAAAAAGTAAAAACATGAACGAGAAAAAGGCGAAATAAATGAAACGGTTCAAGAGAAGAACCGAAGAAGAGAGAAAGTGAAGAAGAGAAGAGTGAAGTAATCGGCCGGAGCTAAATCCGTTATATAGCACGAATCCTACTTCTTAGATGGTGCGGAACTGGGAACGAGAGGCTGATCCTCTTGCGCTGTTCACTTCCTCTTTTGGTGACTTCCTGTTTGAATAGACGTTAAGCTTTAACATTATATCTCATTTTTAAAGTTTTCTTAGATCCACTAATTCACCGTTCAAACATTTCACTCATGAACTTCGTTACATAGTTTCACATGTTTTTCATAACATAATTTATAAAGCCAAGACGTCCGTTTGGAATACCTTACGTTAATAACCCAGAATCTTACCAAAAGTGGCACTGTGGCTCCATCAAGGCACATTCAGCGACATTTTATACATGATTTTGGTAACTCAGTTAATACTTAAGAAAACAGACATAGACAAACCGATTACAATTGCGTCCTTCTTATGCTGAGCGCCCTTATGCTGGATGTAGAGTATATTACCCATTTAGATACTTACAGGACTGAAACCCAGGACTCAACAATATCAATGTAAGTTTGCTTCTGCTGTAGACTGGACACAAGGCTTATCAGTATGGAATGTCAAGGCGTCAACATAGACCCACCTGTAAATCACTTCTTTAAAACAACACTGAACGGCGATGCCAGATGTGAGATAAAAAAGGGGTTTCTCTCTGAAGTAGGAACTGTAGACTAAAAGAGGTGTGAACACTATTCATAAGGACATCTAGTCCTTAGTTTAGCAGCTACAAAAAGGCACTTGTAAGTTTCAACACATGCTCCTGTAAGAGAAGGTTTCACGAAGACTTGAGCATAAAGTGTCCTTTGTATATTGTGGAGAAGAAGGTAAACGTTGTAAACACAGACAGTCTTCTTCCTGCCCTGGCACCGGCAAAGTCTTATCCTTCTCTTTTTCGGCGTCAAAAAGGTCAGAGAAAGAGGGCCCTTCTCTGGACTCTCCTGGCTGGCTCCTGGTGGAACAAAATTAAACATTGAGATTATTGTTGCATTAAGAGACGAATAAAATGTCTCTTGTAGATGAAGACGAGGACAAGGTCCTAAAAAGAAATAACAATTATCAGCCTATATCATTAAGGGAAGAATTCAAACCTTCATGTATAAAATTAAAATTTACAGACAATGCATTAAGTAAACTTGAAAAATAGCGATAATAAGACAAAATTTAGAGAGTTTTGTTGTTGTTTTTTCTGAGGGGGGTTAACGTTGGCATTGTATTTCAAAATACATAGTCTCCATCAAAATTATTGATTTATCTTTAGACGTAATTTGTCTTTTGAAAATAGATGTTGCTATCTTTTTACTATTTTGGTGAAATTACCCTCTAATTTTTTTGGATGAGGAACCCATTTTTTATTTGAAGTAAATGTGGGTTTTTTATGGCCCTAACCCAGATACTAATGAAGTGGGGCCTAATAAAATCATTATGTGTGTTCATTAACAAGTTTAAATAATTACTGTGTGTGTGTGTCTGTGTCTCCAGGCCAGTTGCAGCAGGATGGGGTGTGTGTGCAGCTGTGGCAGTGTGACTGCGTGGACTCACTGGGACAGATTTGGGCAGCCGGCAGCTGGCATCAGGTGAACTGTAACAACTGCAGCTGCTCTGATGGACAGCTGCTCTGCACCAATCACAGCTGCCAGGCCTCCTGCATTTGGAGCTCCTGGTCCAGTTGGGCATTGTGCAGCGTTTCCTGCGGGCAGGGCCAGAGAACCAGATACAGGTGAGGAAAGAAAACTCACAAATACATGATTATGCTTATTATAACATTGCTATGGCTACATTTTGTTCATTAATTGAAAACTGTAATATTCACCCTCTCAAAGAAATATATTTCTTTCTATTGAGAATATACAGTAAACCAATAAACACAAACTTACTGTGTCACTGTTGTGTGTCAGGTCTCGGATCCCAGAGACTGAAGGAACAGATTGCCAGTTTGAGGAAGTCCAGCATAAATCCTGCGACCCAGGACCCTGCCCACCTCTTTGTCTCCATGGTGACAAGGAGCTCAGTGTGGGAGACACCTGGCTACAGGGCGAGTGTAAACAATGGTGAGATGGATGCACACAAACACACAGGAAAAAGTATATGTTGCCGAAAAAGGTTTTGCAGTGAAAAGGAAAAGACAATTTAAAGGATTCCACTTTGTGTTTCAGACACTCAAATTTGTTTTTCCTCCTAGCACATGCACGCCAGAGGGCGATTATTGCCAAGACATTGACTGCAGAGGTGAGTCACTGCATTTATTTTATAAGACATTTATAAGACAAAATGAAGTAAGCTTAAATGTGGAACAAAAACATAGGCACTTTTACTAATGTTTTAAACTATGTACTCAGCTTACAGTACTGGCTTAAGTTTGATGAAAAACAATGTGTCAAATTCTGTGTATTGTTTCTAGTGGACGGTGGCTGGACTCCATGGTCAGTGTGGTCTGACTGCTCAGTGACCTGTGGTCGAGGCACACAGGTTCGAACCCACGCCTGCATCAACCCCCCTCCACGTAACAACGGGTCTCACTGCAGCGGGCCAGAGAGAGAAACACAGGACTGTCACACTCCTCCCTGTCTGGGTTTGTTCAGAAATGTCACAATTATATTGATTCATTCATAGCCATCAAGTATTAAGTATCTATCTATTCCAGTTATATTTTTCTACGTACTGCATGAACTGTATGTATAATCTTGGAAGACAAAGCAAGATTATGAAGTAAGTAAATACAACTCACATTTGCTCAGATCATATTGACTCTCTTGTCTACAGATGACCTTTGCCCCTGGTCGCCATGGTCACCATGTTCCCGAAGCTGTGGCGCAGGTTCTGTGTCCCGGCGCAGGGTGTGCGTGTGTGAGGAGGGAGGAGATGCAGCGTGTCCTGCTGAGATCGAGGCTGAGAGGAACAGAGAGGAGACCCAGCTGTGTTACAAACGGCCCTGTCCAGGTACATGCAGATAAGACCCAACAAATGTTACTTATGGTTGTGGTCATTTTGTGTGGGCACGCCCCTTTTTCTCTTAAGGCAATACAATGAGACATTCATCTAAGAGTGTGAAACGGTCTTTGTAGCAGACAGCAAATTAACATGAATTATTATTTGAATGTTGCATGTTGCATGTTGAATGTATTTTAAGACAATAATAAGTTCTGTATCTCAATACATTCTCATATTTACCTCAGTAACAATAAATGCAATGATTACATTTTTAAATACATTAGTGCACAATATTTCCTTGTGTATGCTCACTTGTTTGTCCTGATTCATTATTTAATGCTTGGTTTATATTGTGGGTATGATGCAATAACTGTTCAGTCAGTTTAAGTGAGTTAGAGATCATATATTTATTTAAGATTGTAATGAGTACATTTAGTTTGGATTGATATTCAGTAATTCAATAAATATATTTTCCAGCTCTGACTCGAGTTAAATTTGGCAGTTGATTAATGATTAAATCTATTAATGATTCATTTGATATTATTGGACTGTTTGTCACTGTTAGTGTCAGTTCATCATGGTTGCTAATTTAATTTTTGTTTCTGCTATAACTGTACTACAATTGAGTGTAAAAGAGGATAACCCAATGTTTGGTATAAATAATAGATGCATTACATACTGGTTAACTTAGCAATGGACTCACCAGGACCAACACTGGGTCAAATGAGTACAAGTTTAAGTGCTACTTTACAGATTTTAAGTGAATCACAAATAACATGAAGTGTTTGAATAAACCTGCATGCAGCATCAGACTGTTTGATTTGTTTTCATCTGCAGGCTGTCCCATGTCGGAGTGGAGTGTGTGGTCTCAGTGCTCCTGTGTGTCTCAGAGGCAGCAGCGCTACCGTGTAGCTCTCTCCCCAGCCACCAGGGGTCAACAGTGCACTCCTGTTGAAACACAGAGCAGGACATGCAGTCTCAGTCAATGTGATGGTGAGTTAACAACCATGGTAAAAAAAAGTACTCTGTTTGAATCTTCATGGACAAAGAGGATTATTTGTGACCCTGACATTGCCCTTTTGCTTCAAGTGCACTTAAATCTTTTTTTTTTATACCCTTAAAAAAGCAGATTGGGATCCAAACGGACACCCAGGAAACTGTGTGTGTGTGTGTTTTGTGCTTCTTGGTACTGTTACTTCATGTTTTTTCTTATTTTTATAGATTGTGAAGCCCCATTTGTGTACTCAGCATGCGGTGCTCCCTGTGAGAAGCAGTGTGCACTGCAGGGCCATGGAGATCAGTGTTTAGGCGTCAAGGAGTGTACACCTGGCTGCTACTGCCCACAGGTGAATACTTCATTAGTCTGTTTTAGGTGTGTACAGGATCAGCTTTGTTGAAATCAGCATTGACACTCACACTGTTTTACTCACAAAAAAGCAAACCTGTCTTCAATGTTCACTATTTGAAAATGATCTGATGTTGGTTGCTGCTCTTTGAAGACATACGTGAGACTGTTTTAGACAATTAGTGTAATGCAAAGCAAGCTGATATATGTGATATTTTGACATGTTCTGCACATCATAGTTGCAAACACACCTAGCAGTGCACATTCTATATTTGGATCTTAATTCTAAGTAGGGATGTAACGATTACC